ACGAGATTTTCTGTCAATAGCGAAGAAGTTTAATTTGTACAAGGATAATTGATAAAGGTTTTGTAAATAAGGAAGAAAGTTAGGGGTAGAAATTTATCCGATGTCTTCAGGTTAAGGTGTCCATTCCGTGAGATATCTGTAGGCTTAGGTAACTTAGCGTTAAAATACAGTAAATTTGCTATGATATTTACTGGAATATAGGCGATGTCTTCAAAGCTGTTTTAATTACATCGACTATTTTGAATGTTCCATTCAGGGTCAAAGACAGATTCAGATTTATATATGTTGATTTTAGTCAAATTATGCTCAAAATTATCAAATGTAACAGTTATATTGATCCATATCTTTTTGTATGAATAGATGTGCCCAATCCCATTCATGCAAGTTCACAAGCCCACTTTATTCAACTTTTACCTGCATAATTTTTTCCGTTTGCTCAAAGACTAACAGTATTGTTCGTGTTTTTGCTACAGTAAGACTGGAATTGAAAGGACGGAAGCCCCAGGTCACAGCAACCATAGATGAAATAATGTCAACTTAGAGTGCTTTCAGCCACAAATAAAAGAAAGAAGTCTCGCCAGGTTTGTCATCAATTATTGCTTAAACAAATTTAGAAAGCAAAAGTGACTGAATTAGATTTGATGACCTGCAATTGGGTTCCTTTCAATACCTAAAACGAGGCTGTAGCCTCTAGTGATGCTGGATCACCTTCTATGTCATCTATAAAGACACAAGAATTCAGGAGCGTACCTTAACCCTTGTAAAGAAATTTTCATTTTCTATTTGTCAAAAAATTGTCGTTCTCTTTCATTATTTGCAGTTTTCAAATATGTAGCAAGGGGTATTTAATAAGTGAAAACGAATTGCAATATGTAGCTCGAAACACGAGACCAAAGCACTTGGATTAATAAGAGTTTAAAGAAAGTCTTCATTTTGTTTGTCTGAGAAATCGGTGAATTCCCTAGGTACCTTCGATAGCTGTGCAGCTTTTACTACAAGCTCCCACCTTTGTCTCGGCAGATTGTAAGATTGTCTTCATAGGTTGCTTCACTTTTGAAGATCTTGGCAAATTTTTTGGTAGCTTTGTGAAGATCTTGGCAAATTACTACTACCATTACAAAATCAGAACTTGCCAAGTTCTTCTCTAAATATTTATTGTTTTGGAACATCTAAATACACCTTAACCCATTATTGGTAAATCAAATGAACTTTCTCATTTGTATCAAAGGCATGGATACCTCACACTCATCTGAGTCAAGGGACCAACACTTTCGTGCAGAAGCCCAAACTGCAGAACTCCTTCTCTATCGTTCCCAATGGCATCAAAGAAGCGCATAATGACTTAAATACCAAACTGAAGCATGAAAATTGACACCAAAATGAGAATAATACAAATAGGCTAAAGTATGAACCCTTAGCGAAATCAAATTCTACAACATCCCTCGTGAAAGAAACTCTGATAATATTTTATTTGATCAGCATGCATAGATATCTCACATCTTACTCTATGTAGCTCAGCATTTTGACAATTATTTGTTGCTGCTTTTGTAATTTGCATATTCAAACAGCTTTAACATGATTCTGACTTGAAGATCATCCACAAATTAAATGGGATCTCTGATATTTTTATGCACCAAGCAGTGCTTTTAGGAATTCCCAACGCACTAGATTATTGATTATTTTTCAAATTGACATTGATATTCTTGCCAAGATGGACGGGAAGGTAGAATTTTCTTGCACTTGGTCAAAGAAAGGGAACACTGATTTGTCTTACCTTAGGCCAGATGCACCTATTTATAATGCTTGACATATTATTAAATGAAATTTTTGACATATTGGAATAATCCTGAAAGCATGTTGGGCCAACAAATATTTTTAAGACCTGAGACCTCACATGCGGGTGCTGTTTAAAGATATTTTGCTTGATTACTAAACTCTCCGTATAGCTCAAAATATTTGTTAAACAGGAAATAACAAATATTGATGGCCTCAATCCAATACTTGGCAAAATCATATGCTAAATAACTTAGATCGGATGAGTTATGCTTCAATGATCCAGTTTTGTTATGGATTATTGATGGGACGAAAGATCAACTTAAACATTCTACTTGACTTCAACTTTAAAAATTAGTTATAGCCAAAATATTTGCTTGTTTATTGGAAGTAAAAATGAGGGTAGATGTTCATAAACCAATTTGTCGAGAAAATCAACAGTAATGTTATACAGTTAATAAAACCGTATTTGCTAACAATGGTATCGTGCTGGTTGAAAGACTTTGATTTGAAGCTTGAGTGGGAAATCACCATAAAAACATCGCTGTTTAAAATGGTAGCTACATCGTTATCCATGGAATGGCTCCAAACTATTGCATAAAACCAGGGACGGAATTTAGCGGGGGGTGTAGTGGGGGGATATTCTCCCCCTCTCCCCCCCCCAAAAAAAAGGTCTGTGTCCTTCGGAAAAAAAATTTTTCATTCTGTTCATTCGGTAAAATCATCTGTTGGTAGTCAATAGTAACAAAGTAACGCCAAGATTTTACTTTATTAAATTTTATCAGTATTTATCTTCTTATCAGTAGAGTAGCGGGGGGATATTGTCAAATGTTTTTTAAGCTGATCTCAAGGTCGTCGTCGCAAAAACTTTCCTCATCTATATCTCTACAGAATGTTCAAAACTTTCCCCTCGTTTTGGGATTTGCATAGGAAAGTCTTCACGTTCTTGAGACATTCCTGATAAAATAGAAACTAAAATGCTAAAGCAGTCCAATCCTTGAAAAAACTGGATTCTGAAACGCTTGTCGTGAACTTTGCTCCAAGGAAAATGTACTTGGTTTAATACTTTTGAATACTGTTAATTTTTTTAGATATTTGATTACAACTTTGGAAAGTCACTTTTTACACGTAGAGATTCCTCGCCTTACAAAATTCAGGACATAAACGTTAGTGGAATTTTGAAGGAAATAGAAAGGTGTAGAATATGGTCAGCCACCTATGAGGTCGAATAAAGGGAAATTGTCACGTAAAAATGCCATGGCTTTTTCAAACACATTTACAATATGGGTGTTTTCACAAATTCTTAGGGGTGTGATCAGGAAAGATATTTCCTCTTTGGCCTACCAATCTTCCAAACCTGGCCCCCCCATCATTGTTGCACAAATCCGCCCGTGATTAAACCCTTATCTGTTTAAGGACCAGTTTGACTTGATGTTTGTTAACTAATTTTCATTTTATCAAAACTTCATACTTTCAACTTCTATCAAAGACAAAGATTCGAGGCTGGTTCATGAAGGATCGTTTATAGATCTATTCGATATTGTATATATTTTCTATACGTTATCTTGTATGGGTTATCATTTGGTTAGAAAAACGAGTCAGCCATTTTCTTTATCTTGTCACGTGTATTCTGGATATGGTAACGAAGCAGTTATCGTGATAGATATTATGCGACATTACAAACATTATTTCAACAAAAACCTAAACATATATGACTAATTACTTGACAACCCGGCTGTCAACCAATTTTTGGCTCTCATCTGCATTTCGCTTGAGACTGACAGATGCAACAACAAATCTGGTGAAAGATTCTCAAATTGTTGAAGAGATTAGCAAAGTTCTTGGATAAATCGAGCATTATAATAACCTATTTCATCAATTGTTTAAGCCTTTCTTCAAGAAAACATTTACATGTTCTTGATTCCCTTAATTTTCTTCTTGATTCCCTTGATTTTCAAGAGAAGTATATCTATTTATCTTGGTACCAGAGCCTCACTCAGAGACTGAAAGGATTAAGAACGGGGGAATGGATTTTTGATTCTGTGAGACTCTGGTACAAGCGGTACATCGCTGTAATCCTAGACAAAGTTGTTGTTATATTTCAAGCAAACACCCAGCATCTACAAAAATAATCCACTTCTTGTTATGAACTTCGGATCGACATGAAATATAGAGTTTTGAAGTTATAGAGAGGCTGCTTCATTCTTCTGTTTTTGGCTTTCTACGACTGACTTCTGCCTCATCAACCCTCCAAGAATAAAGTACCTGCAGCTGGCCTGCCTCTTAACGAGAGAATAAGAAGGAGGCTGTAAAAAAATTACTTGTAAAACACTGTTCGTCAATGAAACAACAGCACCATTCATTGGCCGAAAGATGATGTGGTTTGTCTAAATCTAATTTGCATCCACCACTTTATGTCATCAAATGGTTGAATCAGCAAGAGCTTTCAAAATCCCCAATTTCTCAGCTTAGAAGGTCAATACCATATGTTTTGTGAAGAACGATTTAATACCAACATCAGACGAAACATTTACACTAGTTAAGTAGCTTCTTATAGTATGAATAAGTCCATTAATTAGTTATTATAAATAGTGAGGTTATTATTAAAAAACCTTGTTTTACATCAAAAAGAAGACATCAATGTTTCATCAGCAGTATTTTGTACTTGACAAATTGAGGTGCGTCGTTGAAATCGAATTTTCAGGGTGGGGAGGGGGGTTCAAACGTTACAGCTTTATGATAAATATTCACAGAAGGGTAAGATAAAGAGTAAATTTTTGGTGCAAGCCTATCGTTTCGGTGAAAATCGGTCATTAGAATTTTCCAACCAATCCGACACTACCCCCACCCACCTCTGAAAACGAACACCTTCTTATAGTGGACAATTCAAACACAAAATAAATAGCTCCATCTTGAACGACGATTTATCGGGTTAGGTAGCTGCAAAGCCATTAAAAAAATTCAGAAGATTGTACCAATTTATCCTAGATATTTTGGTACTTCTACCATAAATCTAGATGCTATATTTACATCATACTTATATTTATGCGATTGCTTGTCGTTATAGCTTTTGTCTTCTGGCTACCCTTTTTCTTTGATCAGTGTAATGCGTTGTTTAAAAACTGTGTTCCTGGCATAATATCAAAGGCGTGCTATATTTAGCAATCGTTTAGCATAGTGCACCTCATTACATATAATGTATATATGTAAAAATTAAGGCAACTTACCGTTAGCAACCGAAGTTTTTCTTCCAAATAGCTCTCACTTTTTCAGATTCTACCGCTTTGTCGTTTCAGGTCATCCTCAAATCTTCCACTTATGGAGTGCATTTATTGCGTAATACTAAGTGCTAGAACAGGAGCACATCAACATCGTAACTTACACATATGTTGCAAAGATTTGGTAAGGCGGCCTGCGGAAAGCCGGATCATTACCTGCAGGCTTAACTTAATTGGTTTGTATTTACAGCTCTTAAGAATTTCCAATCAACGAAGAGCATAATCGTGGAATCTTCTAAACTTGTCACATGAAAAGTTTTCGTTCGTGCTTGAGGTTAGGACATAACATTTGCTAAAAACTAGTACCTGATATAGTTGGTACCTGCAATATTTTCACTAGTGAACAAATTATTGTAAACTTTACAACTCGGTAAACAATTCTATTTGAAAGACATAAAGCATACACATTTATGAAAAGCATACACAAGGGAGGATTGCCTTTCCCCTGGGTTTAGCTTGAATGGGCAGGGGCCATGCTTTACAGTCCCCTGTGGTGCCTTAATTGTTTGATCATATTGTTTTTCTAACAAAATTTCTCTAAAACATCCAACAGATGACAAATTTTGAAGACTCCTTTTATGATCGGTCAGGTCTTATACATAAACTACAATCACTGCCAAAATTACTTGGAACACCCAACACTTTGCGTTGTGCTTTTCTATTTTTCATTTGCTTTTCCGAATACTACTAATTCCGTCCCCATTTCCCACCCCAAAACAATGTTCAAAGTAAAGAAAAATATCAAACAAGCCACAAGAAAAAGCATACTCCATAACCCAAGCATACTTTCATTTTTCTATAGTAAATCAACATTGTTCTAAGGGGGAGAGGGGGTGGCTGAATTTGCCTTTGAAAACATACGTTGGTGTTCCAAGACTTTTGGCAGTGATTGTAGTAGCTGTTAACAGAGCTGGTGGGTATCGTTTCTTTCCCATTCTATCTCTGTTGTTTCAAATCATTTAATGGCATTGTAACATTAGAAATAACGAAAAATAAATAAATAATAATTATGACAATGTTAGAAACAGAATAATGAAAAACTCTCTCGTCTGGAAAAACAATTAAACCAAAAGTTGCTGCATAGAAATTATTGCATACTCAGGTTGCAAAAAAAAGAAAAATATCCCTTTATCATTTTTCCTTCATTTTCAATTTGAAGAATTTATTATATGCATGTTGAAATGTTATTTTAAGACTTCCTTAAGTCTTTATATGAAAGTCGGTGGAGCTCACTTTTGCTCACTGCTTTTTCAAAAATTTAAGTTTTAGAGCCACGATCATGAATGTAACTGGCTTTATTCAAAATAAACTTAAAGTTGAAAGAAATCTCCAATAATCTAAGACTGTTTGTTTCTATCTAAACTTGAAGAAGTTCTATACTTACAATGACATTTTGCCCCAAAAAATTAGAGCGTTACAATATTTCAGATTCTATTCCTTTCACTTGTTCTGTATCAAATAGGCTTCAATTTGCACCATGGTAGAATGTGAAGTTTCATTGGTACCTTATGGGTGTAAACAATTAGAAAATACCTGATTGTTATTACTTGCTACTTCATGCTTGCCTTCAGTTGACCACGATGATGCAAATATCAATGATCTTGACTTTTGCAACTTTTAAATGAGATTCTATTCCGCGTTTTCGAGCTACGTGACTCAGCAATTGTATTTGTTCATGCTGTAGAGTTTAGGCCTCCTAAAAATGACTTAACCAACACCTAGTGAGATAAAGTCTTTTTTCCTTCGTTTAAATGCTCTCAGGTTCCATTGAACATTAGTTCACATCACATTGACCCCAGAAACAGCTGACAGGATACATTCACCATGAAATAGGCTATCTTTAATCACTTGAAACTTCTTGACCAGGTGCATTTCATGTTCTTCTCATTTTATTTAGGGAGCAGAAAGTTTTCCATGTTTCATTCAAATCTGACAGGCAGCCTTTAGAAAATGTTGCTAGGACCAGTGGCGTCGCCACGGGGTGGACTAGGGGTGGACTTGTTCACCCCAGTTTTCCCAGATATCAATTTTGTAGTTTCTCGAAATCCACTGAAAAATCTTTGGGGGAGGGGGAAAGGGGACTGGCTGATTCGATTTTCATTCTTGCAAAAAAGCCTTGTTACAAAAAATACTGCTTGAGAAAGTTACTTTCCCAAAAATTTCAGAATAAATAAAAAAATACTAAAAAGACATTTCCAATGTTTTCCGAGAGTCTGAAGGGCGTGGCCGAGAAAGTTTGTTTTTGTTTAGCCAAGTTTTTCGAGCTGGCGACGCCACTGACTAAGGCCAGGGGTTGTATTAAACCTCCAGTGCGCTGAAAATAAGCTTTTATAGTGACAAGGTGATTGCAGAGCCAAAATAGTGACAAATATACAACCTTAGAAAACATTTTCTATAAAAATTTGGAATTGCTTTGTTTCCCTTGAATCATTTTTTCTTTGAATGCTTAAGAAACTATTGGTAAATTAACAGATAGCAAGTTTCAACAAGTGGCGAGATGTTTCACTGCCCTGCCTACTTTCGGACGACACAGTTGTGTTGCCAGGAAACGACCCTAGCAAAGTGCTTTTTCTTCAATAACACAAGTGTTTGTTAGCAAAAAGCAAATGTCCTTCCAAGGTTATAAAACGTCATTACCTTTGAAGTATTTGGAGCATGCCTGATCAAAATTTTAGCGAAATCACACATTTCCACAAACAACTTTTACCATTTTCTTTAACATCTAGATGCTGCTTTTCTTTCGCCTCTTGCACATTAATGTTATGCTAATTTCTATTCTTTGAACGCCTTTTTGAGAATGGGGTGTACCGCAAATACGATGCCAAGCATATTGAGTAAGTGTGCGTCTTTTCTATCTTCTCCTGGTGACAATGTTTCAAAATTGAAAGTGTAAACATAAGATACTTTTACCTATTAATTATATGTTATAATATGCTATTTAAGGATATAAAAGATATCCTTAGCTGTAGTTCCAAGATTTTTATTGGCCAGTAAAAGTATATTGAAAGTAACAGTATCAACGAGAAAACTAGAAAAAGTATACAAACCTATTGTTGCTATCAGTTGTGCTCAAGGGGGTGTCCAGGTTCTACTTGTCGAAAACGTGAGTGAACCATGTTTTCTTTTGCCAATCAAACACCCCTAGATGGCACTCTTTGTATTTGAAAAGGACATTTTCTACCAAAGCGGTGTCACACCCCAACACTCCACAAACAACGGCCCTGTATAGAAAGAGTTCTAAGGAGGCATTATCGCACAATCTTTGCTTTATAGAATACCGTATGCCACAAAAATCAAGCCATATATTTCTTGTGGCATTGCTAATCCTTGAAAACATTGGCAATAAATCATCACTTTCACTGCATAAATTTGTCAATAACTGGTACAGTATGTCCCAATGCATGCAATAATAAACCACTGTAAATGCAACATCATGTGGTATTCTCTAATCTAGACATTTAACGGTTTCTCTAATCTAGACATTTAACAGTTTCCAAAGAGCTTTTACAAATCCTTTTTTTATCAATAGTAACACCTTGTTTCATTATCCCTGCTATATGACCTTTTCGTTTTCTTACAAAATTTGCATCAGTGTGACACTATTAGTTGAGCAAGCCTGCTATGTTCCACAGATACTTATGTCACGATTTTTAAATCCCCACATGTTGCATTTTGGTCATAAAACATAATTTAAAGTTGCTTGTAATGACTTGAAAATAATTCAAGCAATTTGACAAGATCTATATAGCATGATTTACTTCTTCTGTAATTCAACCACGGTACATCCAAGTGTGCGAACTTAACGATCCCATTCCATCTTAGCTATATATATAAGTACTTTTAATAACAATTGGGTTTTGCTTTGTTTTTCAAATAAAGAAAGTTGCTTTCCCTAAGATAATCGTTAATTGATTTCAATGTTTTTTCCACAGATATAAATCGAGTTAAAGTTAAAAAGATTTCAACACTTCTTTAATTGAAGGTCGTATTCCTGAAATGTTAACTGCAAACACAGCAACGAATCTAAAAATAGCTACATTGGTAATCCTATTTATCTACCAGCAACAATAGATACACTTCGATTGCTCCACATCTGAATCTAATTACTGATGGGCAAAACCCTGTTCTATTTCCACAAAATATTACAATGTTTGTTATTCTTTTTTCGTGACCTGGACAAAAAATAGAGAAGGGCAGAGGGACATTGCATTCGTGAATTTTTATGAGCATGTGTTAAAAAGAATTCAAGGTGATGTTTGATGTCAGAAGAAGGCTCGCTCGTGCAAATAATATCGAAAAATCCAATTTGGGAAAACACAATCATGTTTATTGTTATGGTCTTTCACTCCTCCCCTGAAATGAGGTTAACCAAGCGGCAGTCGTTCTCCTTGCATCAAGCAAACAATGAAGGCACTGTAGAGAAGGAAAAGGTCAGTAACAACAAAGGGAAAATGGAACAATAGGGCAATAACATGGCTTTACTTATTACTTTTCCAGGAGTCCAAGAAGCATTTTAAAGCTGAAAGGGCACAGCAATTTGAAGGCACATCCATTTTTGGAAGAAAATTTTGTTGACCTGTTTTTTCCTTTTACACTTCAATTGATAATGGATAGGGCCATTACCCAACAGAACCAAAAGGGTATGAGTTGCATCCCCACAGCCACCCCTAAATAACTGCCAAATAGTTCAACTGCGACTAAAGGAGCAGCCCCGCCCAGAATGTGAAAGAGTAAAAGCTCTGCAGAAAAATTCTGTCACTTTGAGTAGGAACGAAAGGGAACAGCTCTGACTAGTACTTTGTGTGAATCCTGAATAACAGATCTGCACACATCTACGCAATATAATGGAAAGGAGGCTAAAACTGCGTCAGTCTCACTACACCACACAATATGAATTTCGTTCTGATGAAACTGAATTGATAATTGATCTCAATATCAAAATCAAAACATAAATTCGATATAAGAGAAATAAGCTAGCAAGACTCAAAAGAAAGAACCAATATAGGTCACAGAGATGTGGGTTTGATGTATAGTTATCCTATGAACTGAAGGAAAACCAGCCAAATTCCAAAAA